TGGAGCTGGGGCTGGCCTCGGCGGGGGGCGGCGGGGGGCGGCGGGAGGCGCTGGCGGCGCTGGGCATCGTGGCGGCGGCCAACAGCGCTCTCAACCCCTTCGCCTGCCTGGTGCTGCACGGCCGGCTGAGGAGGGGGCTCTGCGGCACCGGCACCGGCACCGGAACGGCCACCGCCGCCGCCTGCTGCTGCCCCGCCACCGACGGACAGGGGCGACGCGGGGCCACGCTCCGACGACCGCTCCGCCGCCGCGCAGGGGGCTGCGGACACCCGGGCTGCTCCTCCGGCTTCACCGGCATCCCTGGCTCCCCCGGCACCTCCGGCCACCCGGGCTTCTCCTCCGACGTCCCGGGCTTCCCCGGGACCCCCGGGACCTCCGGCCACCCGGGCTTCTCCTCCGGCATCACCGGCATCCCGGGCTCCCCCGGGACCCCCGGCCACCCGGGCTTCTCCTCCAGTGTCCCGGGCTCCCCCGGGACCCCCGGCCACCCCGGCTCCTCCTACGGCATCCCGGGCTCCTCCACCGGCATCACCGGCGTCCCGGGATCCCCCGGCACCCCCGGCACCCCCGGCCACCCGGTCTCCTCCGGTACCCTGGGCATTCTGGAGTCCCCCGGCTCCCCCGCTATCTCCGGCACCCCGGGCTCCCGCAGCTCCCCCGGCATTACCGGCACCCTGGGATGCCCCGGTCCCTCCGGCTGCCCCGGCGCCCCGGACTCCTCCAGCATCACCGGCGTCCCCAGCACCCCGTACTCCCCCGGTACCTCGGACACCCCCCGTGCCCCGGTGGCTGCAGCCCCCCCCGGTCCGTCCCCCCGCACGGCACGGTGTTAGCTCGGGGACCGGGACACCACCGGTGACGGAAGAGCCCTCACCCCGGGACCAGGACCGGGCTGTGGGTTTGGACAGCCACACAACACAATCTTTTACCTGAGCTTTGGGGATATACCTTCTTCTTTTTCTTTTTTTTTTTTTCCACTTTTTTGGTGTGTTTTCGTGCCGAACACGCGTAGGGAAGAGGGCAGGCCAGCGGGATGCGAAGTGCCCGAAGGTGAAGTCTCCATTCCAAGCCCAACTGACTTGTCCTTAAAAGCCTTACGAGTATTTCGGTCGTACTTTGTGGATTTTGTGATACCTCTTTCAGAAATAAAATGGGTCAGTCCAAGAAATTACTCTCTTTTTTTGTTGTTGTTTTTTTTTTTTGCACCGGGACACCACCGGTGACGGAAGAGCCCTCACCCCGGGACCAGGACCGGGCTGTGGGTTTGGACAGCCACACAACACAATCTTTTACCTGAGCTTTGGGGATATACCTTCTTCTTTTTCTTTTTTTTTTTTTCCACTTTTTTGGTGTGTTTTCGTGCCGAACACGCGTAGGGAAGAGGGCAGGCCAGCGGGATGCGAAGTGCCCGAAGGTGAAGTCTCCATTCCAAGCCCAACTGACTTGTCCTTAAAAGCCTTACGAGTATTTCGGTCGTACTTTGTGGATTTTGTGATACCTCTTTCAGAAATAAAATGGGTCAGTCCAAGAAATTACTCTCTTTTTTTGTTGTTGTTTTTTTTTTTTGCTGCTGCTGTTGTTGTTGTTTAAATCCAGGAGGAAGGGATGGCTGCGGCCGCTTCGTTTCCAGGCAGGCTGGTGTAATTTGCGCTGTTTAACTTAATTAGCTGTACAGACGGAGCGGGGGGCTCTAAAAGGCACGCTGCAATGGGATGGAGGTGTGTAAAACATGGCAAAAGTCTTCTAAAACAGCGATATTTATTCCTCCCCTAGCGAGTTTTAAGGCAGAGTGATGAAGGAATTCTGCGACCGCATCCCTCTCATTTGGCTCCCGTTTTATTCCCACGATTTCCATCACACCCACTCCACCAGCTGGATGTTTTTTGGTCATGTTGACAGGACAAATTTTGCCTTTTTTCTGCAGTAGGAGAGCTGTGTTTCTGCAGGAGTTGGGCAGGAGCAATGTGGGATGTGTGGAACACGTGCGTGCCGGTCCCCTCCGGGTGCTGGTGACATCTCAGGGGGGTGACAAAGGGCAGCTCCGTTGGATGCAGGCGTGTGAGATGCCATCGTTGGATGCAGGAGGGACCACACTGATCTTTGATGGAGCAGAGGGAACACCATCCTCCCCACAGCTGGCTGCTGTGGTGGATTCCTGGTCCTGTCGCCCTCGAGGAGCCCCAGACGCTGAACACAAAGCGACGCGTGTTTGCCCGTGGCTGCGTTAAGCTGTTTCTCCCCAAAGAGCCTGGTGCAGCTCCTGTGCAGGTATTCTCTTGGCTGTTTTCACATTTCACTGCTTACAGTTCTTCTTTTTTTTATTTAACTTCTTTTCCTCCAAATCAGACCAGCCCTGACTGAAAAACAGAGACATTGCTCTTACACGAGCCTTACTCACAGTCGAGGACTTGTCGAGCTTTCTCTGACGGCTGAAATAAAACCAATGTGATTCACAAGACCCTCTTGTATTATATTATTTTCCCCCCAAATCCTCTCATCTGGTTACGTCCTCCTTAAAAACCAAAGCCATGAGACAGTGCCCCGAGGATTCACTGGTGTTAAGATGAATAAAGTCACCCTCCAGCGTCACTCGTTCCCCGTCACCACGTCTGGCTGTCCATTCACACTTCTGCATCTCCCAAACCTCCAGGAGCGTGGGGCTCTTCTTCCCCAAAACACCGCTGCCTCGGCAGTTTGCTGTTCACTGTTTTCATGTTTTTTCCCCGTCCTTTTTGTTTGAACCTTTAACTAGTCCATGACGAATTTTATCCGAATGATTTCAGATCATTTTCCAGCTCAGAAGTGCCATGAGCGCTCCCAGGGTTCATTTTCTCACATTGGATAAAAAAAAAAAAGGAGCCTACTCCTGCATTCAAATTACTTGTTAAAAAGGTACTGAACAGCACTGCATCGAATTCTTGTAGAATTTATTTGATAAAGCTTCCCACTTTTAAGTTGTTGGTATCTACTACTTGAGTGATTTTAGCCAATTGTGAACCTAATGTAATTTTATCTGGACTCTTTTTCCATGCCTTGCTTAAAATAAGATGAGGCAGGCTGTTGCCCAGCTGCAGTCGAAATCTGGATTTCCCCACTGATTTTTTTTTTCTTACTTACTAGGCTGGTAAGAAATTATCCTAACTATCCAGACAAAGGTGGCAGATGATTATTTTCATGTGGATTTTTTTGGAAATTGACACGGGCAGTCTCTTACCTCTCCAGTGACCACCAGGATCTTGTGTTTACAAAAATAATTCCAATTTTTGTTGCAGCGACACCTCTCCTGCCTCTGTAAGCACCAAAGAGAACAGGGTCAGGGCTGATGGGGCCAGTGCCCACAGCAGCCCCAGGCAGATCTCCCGAGGCTGCGCTGACCTGGAAACATCCAATAAAGATGCTTGAGCCCACTGGCAGTCCAGCCTTTCTTCTCCTTTTCTCTCCCCAATATAATTCCTTCTCCTTTTCTCTCTTCAACTTAATACTGTGTAACTCGCTCAGTTTGATCAAAAAACAGGTTTTTTTTGTCCTTTGTGAGCTGGCCAACCCTGTATGTTGCAAATCTCATTTGATTCGTGTTACAGTAATGCAGATGCACCAGCATAAATAAGACAGAGTAATTAAGGATGACCACATTGTTGAATGTATGTTTGAGACTTAAATTATCTCTGTTTTGTACCAACACAGGTAGATTGTTTATCACAAACAGAGGTGGGAAGGCTTGAGGGGGATTTTGCCTTCTTTCTTCCTAACTCTTCAGCACAAAGAGTTGGACACGTTTGCACATAAAATTTTGCTTTTAACAAACAGGTCAACGTTTTCCTTCTCAATAAGCATTTTAAGAAGACCAGATAAGACAAATAAGTGCTAGACTAGAGGTGCTGAGGCAGGATCCCACCCCAGTCTACCAAGGACCACCTTGTGAGGGAGCATCCCTACCTCCCAACGTCCCGGCTCCGCTTCCTGCACCGGCAGCTCCCTGGGGTCTGTGACCTGTCCCTGGGGCTCCTCGGGACAGTCTGAGACACACAAAGCTGTTCCAAGCAACTGGGGGAAGGAGTTTGTCTTCTCAATTTGTTTTTCCACTTCACGGAGTGTCGCAAACAGCACTTCTGTAAGGAGTTTTGTAAGTACTGTAAGGAAAAGTACACTCTTCAAGAAGTACATCTTAAAAGCTCCTGTCTTTAAAAAAAAAAGCCGTGTCTGCAGAACTGACAAAATACAAATCACCCTAGTAAATTCTTTAAACATTTTCTAGTGATTTCTTTAAACATTCACCCCTTACATAAAACACACAAAACACATCCAGTTCACCATACTTTTATTTTGCAATATTCTGTACAAAGTACCGCATTCTGTCCGGAGCTCTGGAAAACAAACATTTTGCTTATTCTTTTCTTGGCTACGTGAGCCTTCCTGTGGATGTATTTATTTTCTCTTCTTACACAGCCATTTAACATTGCACTACTAAGACACGGTTTTTGTTGAAATTATTTCATCACTACCTGACCTAATTTTATTATAATGGCATGTGCTACAGTGTCTGACAGTTTATTTTACCTGTTAATTTGTTCCTTGCCCTGCTACCATAGCAGTAAGTACTATAAGGTCAGCCTTAATGTTCTGTGAACATAAAAAAATAAACCAGCCAAATTATTCATAGATACATACCAAATCCCATTGTGGCAAGTACTTCATGAAATGGATGTGGAGTGCTTAGCCATCAGAAAAGACATGTATTTTTCATGTTTATTTTTACTGGGTCACTGCTACCACGGAGTATTTCATTACAGATTCCAGAAAGCATTTAGGTATGAAGCATAATGTCATCCTGAATTGTTACTATAGCAGCAACAACTGTGATCAAGAATAAGCAAACGTAAGTGCTGCTACAACCACACTGAAGAGTTACTAGCTAAACCTTACCTTCTTCCAAAACTGTTTTGTTTTCTTATCACACCCCTGGTAAAAAGCATAAAATAGTGTTTTTATGTGAACTTTTTCTGCAAGCCTCAGTTGCATCTCCTCTGTGTACACTGCCGGTTCCCGTTCCCCGCTCGTTGACACACATTAAAACATTTACCTGCAGAATCTAACTGCACAATGAGATCTGTTCAAGCATTTTCCATCTTACGCTAGACAAATCACGCCACCACTTTTCAGAGAACTGCTCTACTCACAGGTTTGGCTGGACGTGGTCGGGTTTTTTTTGTTTGTTTTTTTAATTTCCATCAGTGACCAGAGACCAGATTTGTCTTCCCTTGCACACAGGCTCCATTAGTAGCCTATGTATATTATGAAATTTTAAACAGCAATAAGTACCAGATCCAAAAGCAAGAGACTAGAAGGCAGATCTTGAGACGATGTAGAGTCAATCGTGTATAAAAAGGGAATGCTGACAAAATAAGTACTTGAATAAACTGCAACTAAGTTCAGTCCAATACTGGCTGTTTAACCGGAATACATTCTCTAAGGTGCACAAATATGAATTCATTGTGGACTTAAAATCCTTCTTGATGGAAAGTGGGCTCCAGCACACTTCACTACACTACATTCTATAGCCCTTGCTTTAGTCTGTCCTTAGAAATGGAAATTCTTGATGAGTTCTAATGCTTGATACTCACCATTTTTGCAACCAGCTAAATATTCCATACAAGCCATTAGTACTTCTGTGCTACCCTTTCTATCTATACTTAAGTGCTGCAGAATTATAATGTAAAAATCTAGATTTGTTGCACTGGTTTGTTATATAAAATGCTTTTTCCTCTCTAACACAAAGTGGTAATTGTTCAGGCATCTTGGCTTTCAATAGCTTATATAAGGCAGTAATTCTAACGCTTGAAATACAGCATAATATTACAAATGCAGAATGTTTTCATATCCCCAGTCATTTGAAGTCCAGGTTGTTTTTGTTCACTTACTTTGATTAAGCCACTTATCAATTGCATTCTCGTATTTTTTTGGTTCCTTTAACCAGTCCTGATGCCACCTAAGGTTGGCAATCACATTTGAGTAATTCTGACCCAAACTTTGTTTCCAACTCATAAACTGTCTTTTGTTATACTCCTGAACAGAAGAAGAGACCTTCGGGTAATTTACGATAGAGAGGAGCATTTTGTCCAGGGAGCGCACAATTAGGGGGAATTTCATGGCAACGTTAGTTAGCTCATCGGGATCCTCAGAAAGGTCTGTAACAAAGAAAAAAACCAGTCAGGAGCCAATCTGTGTTTAAGTGAATTATTCAGTCGGTTAGGAGAGAAGAGCTGTGACATACCAAAGAGCTGTGGAGGTACGGAGCGTCCGTCCGCGTAGGCGATGTATTTCCATTTGGGGGTTCTCAGCATGTAGGTGGAGGCGTTCACGTTGCACCCGTGGAACTCGCTCAGCACCCACGGGGGACGGGACCCCCCGGGGGAGCCCCTGCCTTCAGCCTTTCCCCGCAGCAGTGGCATCAGGGAATACCCACTGAGGTTCCGTGGGGCAGGAATCCCCGCTATATCTGAGCAAAGATGCACAAAGTCACAATGCTACTGCAGTTACCGTGAGTAAAAAAGACTCACGTAATGGTACAGGTGCCTGAAAGTAAATTTTGTTATAATAATCATAGAATCGTCTGGGTTGGAAGAGACCCTTGGGATCATCGAATCCAACCATCTCCCCTACTTTACAAAGTCCTCCCCTACACCATGTCCCTCAGCACTGCCTCTAAACGGCCCTTAAACACAGCCAGGGATGGGGACTCCACCCCCTCCCTGGGCAGCCTGTTCCAATGCCCTATCACTTTTGGTGAAAAATTCCTTCCTAATGTTCAATCTAAACCTCCCCTGTTGGAGCTTGAAGCCGTTCCCTCTCGTTCTGTCACTAATTACCTGTGAGAAGAGACCAGCACCAACCTCTCTACAGTGTCCTTTCAAGTAGTTGTAGAGAGTGATGAGGTCTCCCCTCAGCCTCCTCTTCCTCACACTAAACAGTCCCAACTCCCTCAGCTGCTCCTCATACGATTTGTTTTCCAGCCCCCTCACCAGCTTCGTTGCCCTCCTCTGCACTCACTCCATAATAAAACATATATTCCTATATATTCTCCTTGTAGAACACAGGAACCTCAAAATACACAAATAATTAAAAAAAAACAAACCTTAAGGAATACTCCAAGTTCAGCAGCCCAGGATCTTGATCAAAAGCATCATCAGCTATGTCTAAGTCAGTCTTTAACAGGTATTTGCTAAAACCAATCATGCTTTTTAATTTATTTTTTTTTTAATCATGGTTTTGTATCCTTCCTTTCTGCTCTGACCACGTCAAGCAGGAGAAAGAGACTGTCATAGCATGAAAGGAGTCTGAAAGCTCCATATCCAACACAGCCCTAATCATTCCTGTCTTTGACAGTAATGGTGCTAAGCTTCTCTCTAGCATTCTTCATCAGGGAATTACAATCACTTTACAAAAGGTGGTCATTACAGTTATCACCTATAACTGGTGGGGAAACTGAGGAACAGAGTTTCTCTGGAGATAAAGATGGTATTGCAGGTGGTATCGATACAGTGCATGTGTGGAAAACACTGCATGGGTGACTCTACTTGATGGCCCCTGGAAGATGCTGTAACTTGAATAAACTCCTGTGCTTGCAGACTGCCCACAGGTGGGTTTTTCCTTCAACAGCACACACCTTCCTTTTTCTCCTGTTTCTACAGCATAAGTACCTTAGATGTCATTAATGAGTGAATAAAAAGGCCAGTATCTGACTAAGGACTAGGATAGAATCACAGAATCACCATGGTTGGAAGGGACCTCTGAGATCGAGTCCAAACTTAAAAAAGAAAAAAAAACCCCCAAAAAACACCAAAAAAACCCAACCAACCAAACAAACAAAAAACCACAAAACACCCCACCACATCACACCCACCCACAAACCAACAATCTCAGGCACTAGAGCCGGCCCTGAAGAGCCACGTCTACACGTTTCTTAAACACCTCCAGGGATGGTGACTCCACCACCTCCCTGGGCAGGCCGTTCCAGGGCCTGACCACCCTCTCAGGAAAGTCATTCTTCCTCAGATCTAATCTAAACCTGCCCTGCCCCAACTTCAGACCATTTCCTCTGCTCCTGTCATGATTCCCTTGGGAGAAGAGGCCAACCCCCACCTCTCTACACCCTCCTTTCAGGGAGCTGTAGAGGGCAATGAGGTCTCCCCTCAGCCTCCTCTTCTCCAAACTCAACATGCTCAGTTCCCTCAGCCTCTCCTCGCATGACTTGTTCTCTAGACCCCTCACCAGCTTGGTGGCTCTCCTCTGGACACACTCCAGCAGGTCAATGTCCTTCCTGTGGTGAGGGGCCCAGAACTGAACCCAGCCCTCGAGGTGAGGCCTCACCAGTGCCCAGTCCAGAGGCACCATCACTGCCCTGCTCCTGCTGGCCACGCTGTTCCTGACACAGGCCAGGATGCTGTTGGCCTTCTTGGCCACCTGGGCACACTGCTGGCTCCTGTTCAGCCAGCTGTCCACCAACACTCCTAGGTCTTTTTCTGCTGAGCAGCTCCAGCCACTCTGCCCCCAGACTGTAGCGTTGCCTGGGGTTGTTGTAACCGAAATGCAGGAGCCAGCACTTGGCTTTATTAGGATAGGAAGACCAGTAACATTTAACCTAGTAGATTCCAGCACATGGGCTAAAAACTTGAACAAATACATACTATGTTTGAGCAAATGAAAAATGGATATAAAACTTCCTCTTCTGTCATCCCAAACCATAAATGGTATTAATCACAATAACTGCATCTAAGATGTATCTAAAATACATCCGACTATTCAAAAAAACCAAAAAGGTGATAAAAACCAAATAGTCCTTTATATAATAATTCACTGTAATTGTGTTGATGACAGTTAACAGGAATAGGGAACATCATCAGCTCCTTTACTTAATTTTTACATCCATTTTTTGCATTTTTTATTAAGACTGTATGTATGCTCCACAGATACATCGTTATCATCTCCTGTTGTGTTACTACATTGCCTCACAAAGTGGAGACCTAATTCTGACTATAATACAAATGCATAATAATTATAGTAAACAGGGAAAAAAAAAATCATTTGAAATGACTTAACTCACCGAGCATAGTAGGATATATATCCACGAGAGATACCACGTGTGGTACTTGCTGCTGCTCTTTGATGCCTGGCCCCATAACTAAAAGAGGAACGTGGGAACTTCCTTCATACATGCTCATTTTATAGAACTGCCGGTGCTCCATAGCAAGTTCTCCATGATCTGCAGTGAATATAACGATTGTTTTTTTAAGAAGCCCGGTATCCTCCAGAGCTGAAATCACCTCACCTGCAACAAGAAAAAGATACTGAAAAGGATGCCTGCAAAATACTTCTTTCGATTTCTCTACCTGCAAACCCCAAGGAACCCTGGCCAGAAGGTTGGAAACTCCTCTCTCAAGACACAGAAAGCTATCTATCATCACTTTCGTTTAATTTCATAACCAATAATATTTATTTCAACAGCAGTAAAGTAGTGCAGCAGAAGCCCTGACACTACATTTAGGGTGAAGGACTCTCAATAGTACCCACCTTCCAAACAATTAGTGCAGGTCTCTCCTTGTCATATCCCCACAGGAGGCCCTTGCACACACATCTGTGCAATGGAGACAGGGCCAGGATCAATGAAGTACAAAATGAAGGAAAGCACTTGCACATCTTTCACATTAAAGCACTAAGATAATTCTTCCTTAAGCAGACTAGTTAAAAACTTAAAATATGTTTCCAACTTAAACCCCAGTGCAGATACTGTGCAATGCCTTCACTCCCTAAAACTGTCAGGCTCCTGTTGATCTCTCTTCTTTCATAAAACGTGCAAGAGTCATCCTGTGTCTTTCAAATTACTTTCTAAGATTGCTACTTTCTAACATTGCTAAAAAAACAGCTTATTTTTTCACAAATTTCATATTAGAATGCAAAGAAATTCTTGTTCTTTCTGGTCACTTCTCAAATTAAGAAATAAAATACTGTAAATGAAGACCAATTAGCATTATAATTTTTATGTCTGTAGACCTTGCTGAGAACTAGAAAGAATTCTGACTGCCAAATTAGTTTGGTTTTTTTTTTCTTCTTCTTTTTAACATTTAATACTATGTGGCTAAGAGAGACTTCAAAGGTAACCTCACTGTTTAGTCTAGGTGTAATAGCTGTCATCCAGTCTATGCATTTGAAATCAATCTCCCAGAAAATTGCTTATGCCCTAAAATTTATCCTTCTTTCCAGCTTTGCTTTGCTGGTCTGTCCCCTTCATGATTGTTTCCATTATTTCAGTTAGTACTTAATCAAAGAGTATTTACTTCCTCTTGTACGTGGGTCAAGCAACATTTTGCTGCAGTTACTTGACTTTTACAGGGTCTCTAAGTGGTGGTTGTGATTATTTGTCAGAATGCTCTAAATTCCCCTTGCAATAGACTTAAAAGATATCCAGTTATTTATCATACAGACCAATTTTGCAACATCCATATGCTTTACTCCCAAATCTGAATTGTGTTGGGCTTGTTGTTTTTTTTCCCAGAAGACCAGCCCTATCAGCATTTTCTTAAAAAAGACAGAACTAGAGAACCCGCTGTGTAATGAAACATGACCTACCCAGCATGGCATCTGTCTCTGCGCTCATCGCATAATAAAACGCTCTAATATTTCTCACTTCTTGCTTTGTAAACTCTCCTGTGCAATTCTTGGTGTAAGATGAGTAATAGTCTACTGGATGCATCTCTGCAAAAGAAGACCACTTGGGTATTTTAATAGCTTCATAAGTTACCTAAAAATAAGAGGAAATTAAAATTACTTTAGCAACTGAATTAAATTATTTTCTTAAAAAAAACTCATTTAATTTAAAACTTTTAAGCATAAATTCACAGCTCTCGATTTGTGGTCCAGGGAACACCAGCTGCTTATCTGCTACATGGTGCTGCTTCCTCCTCCGTACTTTCCCTCTGCTTCCACAGGTATCGAGTCATTTTGACAGAGCTATAAAAATCAGCTAGAGACTAAGGCTAGGAGCCAGAAATATGTGCTCTACCAGCTGATTTTTTTTTATTTATTTTTTTTTTTAAAGAGTGATACCATGGAACAGCCTTCTAGAACTGTACTCTAGAGTAAGCACAGAAGTATTGGCATAGTGTGTCATTAACTATAGGATAACTATAAACAACATGTATTAAAAAAAATAAATAGGGTGTTATGTGAGGCTACAGAACAACATGGAAATTTACTTAGTCTGGGAAGGGCTCCAGGGCAGTAGATGACAAGTCTCGACATCTCGATAAGAAAAAGTCCAGTTTTCTAATACTTTTCTATTTGTTCCCACAGATGCCTATCCCATTTAGTTACAAAGAAGTGTAAGATCAGTTTGAAACTAAAAAGCAGGAGCCAATCAATTACAAATAATGCTGGATTTGCATATTCTCACTGGTTTGCTCGCAGACATTGTGTGCTGCACCACCAGCTTTAGCGCCTCAAAGTCTGACATACATTTAGCCTAGACAGTCACACCTGAAACCATTCCCCTCGCGTGCCACACTTAACAGAGTTAATTACTTCTATATTGCAGTTTTAAAGCACAAATTACCACAAAGTAGAGAAGATGTTACCTCAGTCTGGAAAACTTAGAAGTTTATTAAATAAAATCTAGCAGATGTATTACATTATCTAAACAGTTGATAAGACAGCAAGAGTTAAAGTGCACATAACACAGGGATAAAATGATTTTGTGACAGTCAAACAGACATACCAAAACCTAAGTTTCCTTAGGCCCTGTAGAAAATAGTCTACAAGAAGAAATCATTGACCACTTCAGGCACCTTCTTATTGCTGAAGTTTCTTGGCTAGATAAAGTCACATTTTAGACTCCTCAAATGGTCGTTGGTTGCTTAAGACATAATGGGAGCAAAAAGTGTCCCTCTCCATGCACGATTTCCTATGGAACTACAACCTAGTTTGGCAGATTCACAAAGTCATAATCCCTTTCTCTGTTGTAACTCATAGCCAGGAAAGAAGCCACATGCCCTGAAAAAGCGCCAGCTTGTGCAAAATGCAGGGGACCATCTGCTTAGCAACACGGGGTTTCATAAACACACCATGTTGATACTCTATCCTGTACCAGCTCCCCCTTAAAAATATAATTTAATTCAAGTTCTTCACCTATGCACTCACACTTCATCATGAGATTGGTCTCTGTTGTTTTCAGAGGTGACTTCTTCCACAGCCAAGGCACAGATACATTCCAGAAGCATCAGCCAGTGGTCAATAAATGGTAATATATGGTTCACATAACTGAGTATGGGCATGTAGTGGTGGAAAGGACCTTGGCAAACTACTGAGTTTAAGTATTCTAACTGGATTAAGGATGACAAAAATTTGTCAGAGTTGTTGTAACTCTGTCTGTGTCTTGAAAAAAAGGTACCCTCACTCCCCAAGATATGTCTAGCCTAGCAATTAGCTCCTAGGAAGTTTTCCTTACTATCCAAACTAAATCTTGCTCTGCAAATGAAGGTTTTTCCCCCATGGTCTTCCTCTCCCCACAAACTTCTCACCATTCAGAGAAGAACCCACAACCCTGAATCTTAGACAGAAATCATATCTTTCAACCCTTATTTGTATATCCTTTTTTTTAAGTCCCTGTGTTTTTGTTCCACCTAGATAAACACATTTTGCAGTTCTCCAGAAGAAAAGGCCAAATGAGTTATGTAAATTGTGTTTAGTTTATTTTGAGGTAAGCACAATGTCTTTTCAAATTTATTTCTCAGTTCTTCACGCTGTTGTTAACTCATTTATATTTTTATGACAGATAACTGCACCTGGAGACCACACGCGAGAAAGCAAACATTGTCACTATTTCTTTGGGACAGAGTGCTATCTGCCAGCTTTCCACATATAGACATAATGGAACTTTTCTGCACTCTAAAAACATTAAAAAGCTACTGTAGCATGGAAAGCTAACAGAAAAGAGAGAGTTCTGCTGTGTCTCACTGCTTCACATTCGTATTGTAGGAAAAGTCAATCTCTCACTCTAAATCTCGGAGAGAATGATTACATACAGCATCATTTATGACAAGCACAATACAAAATGTTATAAACAATTAACTTCAAGACCATTACTGTAAAAACAATTACAACTACATATAGCAACGATTTCATTCTCTGTTTAATAAGTTTCTAGCCATTGAACTCCAAATTTCTTCATTGATTCAGTGACTACTGCTAAAAACCCCCTTTCCTACAATACCGAAAAAGTCTTCATTTCTATTTGCTTAGCTTTAAATCAGAAATCTCACATCTCATCCTAGTGCTTTCTTACTGTGTAACAAAATATTAAAACTAGGTCTGAGTCGAAAAATCACAATACCATTCATAATAAATAAAGTTCTAAATAAATTTATATTTAAATTTCACCTTCACATACCTTTTCGAGCCAATAGGGAGATGTTAAAAATGTAGAGGATCCAAAATTTTCTCCTGCATAGGGTGACGGATACGGGTGTGGTAAATTTAGTCCCAAGTAAAGGACAAATGGTTGAGTAAGGTTAACAGCTTCTTCCTTTATCCAGTTTACTGCTTTATCAGTATTGCGCCAGTCTGCTTCCATCACTCTCACGTGTGTCTTATCACCAGTAAGATTCACCATGGGTCGCCCTTCTTGCCGGAGCAGGAACTCAACATCCCTCGTCCAGGCTTCTACACGGTTACTGAAAATAAGCACACACGATACATACTCATTGGGAAACATTTTCTTCACTTTTCCTCCAAGTAAAAAGCGAAAAATTCCTGAAAAACTTCCCCTATATTTGTAGCCGCAACCTGTTTGTAATTTCTACATAAAGAAGGATTGCTATTCAATTGATCAGTAGCTATTGCGCATCTATTTTATATTCAAAGCTTCAGCCATTTATTTTTTTTCTGCTTTTCGATCTTCTTTCTTATTTATTATAACTTAATGTCAGAATGTTTCTTCTCACATCTACAAAATAGGACTTAGAAATCCATCTTGTTGGCCCTGCTCTTCATTCCAGTGTGGATTCACACGCTGATTATCTGGTAAAGGTGGCCTTAGATTTTTGTTATTCGAAAAAGTCCTGTGGGAAGCAACTTTCCCGGAGAGGCTGCCTTTAGAACCAAAGTTCTGGTTTTGGAGAACATTTTTAGACACTATCAGTTATGACAAAAATCCGTAAAAGTAATTTATTTTGTTTACATTTTTAAACACTATCAGCTATGACAAAAATCCATAAAAGTGATTTATCTTATACAACCACTTTTGATATAGTTGATAAATCCTATCAAGAATAGAGAGTAACAGAGGAGAAGGGTGTAGGGAGAAAGCAAGAAGGGGGAAAAAACAAAAGACAAGATTTTAATGATAAAATATATTTTGAACAGATTTTCTAATATAATGACAATTCTTGCCTCTCTAAAGCCCTGAGAAACGTGCGCTGCAGATGTCCTTGTTTCTTTGCCAAGGTGAATGACCCCACAACTGCCACAAACAGAGGCTGGGAGGAAACAGCCCATTTAAGACCTTGACTGCATTTTGTTCATCAATTTCAATATAACGACAGAAATCATAAAGGAAAATATGAAACTGTTCAAGGTTTGACCACGTACTTTTATCAAAACACAGCATTATTGTTGTTTAAAGAGCATCTAACCAGTTTTGTCCCCCACAGGAATTTTACCAGTGCACCTTTAGCCCCCAGAAAAACTATCCAGAATTCTCTGTTACAACATTTTTTGAATTTTATTGTTTTAATTCATTGTTTAAGCTCATACTTTCAAGGTAAGCAGGCTTAAAGAAATTACTCAGAACAAATGAAGGTAGCTAGATGTCCTATGGAGAAATCACATTTCATAAACATTAAAATGAAACAATGGTAAAAGGTGGGTGGGTGAGTGAAATTGCACCTAACATCATAATACTTACACAAAAAAATTATTACCTAGGCCATAGGCCAGTCTGACTATCCAATCAGACTGAAGTTAGAATCTAGTTAAAACCCAAAACCTCCAAAACTTAAAAAACCTCCCCCAAAAACTCCACTTCAGACACCCTTTCCACATTCTGGAGCAACACAGGTGATGTTTTGACACAGCCAAGAGGACAACTAATCCTCAAGCAGAAAAGGAGAAAAAGATGCCTAAATAAGAATCTTCAAAAAGGCCAGGTGGAGAGATGAAAAAGAGGGCAATACTAAATTAAATCCTTGAATTTAAAAGGAAAAAGCAAGTACTAGACTGATAATTATTCAAAAGGCTCAGAAACTAATTCCAATTTTCAACACTTTAAATGGGAGTTTGCTAGCAGAGAGTACTCCAGTGATTGTAACAAACATGCAAAGGAAAAAAAAGCCGATAAATAAAGGATGGGAATACAACAATGTAACTTTGAAGATAAAGCTTAATGAATTACCATCATTACTAACCTAAGTGAAAGTAATTACATGACAGTCAGTAACCACATCTGTTTTAAATGTTAAGTGAAGACAGCCACCAGCACTCAAAGGACATTAGATTCTTTTTGACAGGGAACAGAGGCTTCATGTTTTCAACAGTCTGGAGGATAAAGATCCAGCTCTTTCTGTTCGTAAGTATTTCTTTGTATGCACTTCCTAGAAGCTATTTTCCTCCAATATCATTAATCCACAACTATGAATAATTATCTTATGAGTCACACTCAAATGACAGTATATTTCACTCTGTGTTTGTATTTTTAAAATATGTAAATCAGAGATGGTTTGTGTTACCAATGCACTATTTGCAATAGGTTGGGACAAAGCAAAATCAATTTGTGTCACACAACTGAAATGTTGCAGCAGAAGAGTTAACGAGTCTTTTTTTATTAGGTAAATATGGGAGCAGGGAGCAGTGGTGGTTTTTATTGTTTAAAGAAATGTATGTGCTTAAGAAAAGGTTCTAAAGGATCTTACTGCTCACTGTGTCCTGTCAAATTGTTTTCTCTGGAACAAGCTGATCTCCACTGAATCTCCTACTCACCTTGCACCACCTGAACTGTTCTGCATCTCTTTGCTACTCTCCCTTTTAACAAGAAATTAAACAGCAGGACATATTAATTATCTCCACAACATACGTGAAGCTTTGCTATAACTCTTCTACACTATTTATAGATTAATTAATTGGCTACTTAGGGTTTTTAAATGTCTGCACAGATGCCATGCAAGGAACGAGATGCACATTTTTCTCTGACTGAAGAACTGTATTTGCAGTTTTCATTTATTGAATTGAAAACTGTGTAAACTGCCATTTTCAAATCCCTCTTGTGTAGGCACAGAAAGGCTGGCTAACCATGTGTTTGTTTTCTTTTATTCTCGACCTCCACCCACACTTACTCAAGTAACAATAAGGGTACAGATCTCAAACTCTCACTGAAGGGAAAACTAGAAGAAATGTATCAAAAATTTGCACCTGGCTAAAACGCAGGATGAAGATCAAGGACAAAAGATAATTAAAAACTGCCACACCATAGACTTCAGTATTTTTCAGTCATCTTCGAAGTGCCTAAAAATTCAACCTCATGGGACCAAGAGCTATGCAAACATGATGTGATTATACAATTATATCATAATTTCTGTTTGCAAAACTTGAACCCTGTCACTGAAGTAGACAAACCTATACATGGCAGAATGAGAAAAATCAGAGTACGTGATTGTAACTCCACTGATACTGGTGCTGCTACAGTTTTGCAAAACCCTGAATTATCTTAATTTATTTCACATCTGTGGACACTTGGAACAAAAATACACAAAATGGTATCGACAGAACCACTCAAATGTGAGAGTACCGGACAAAATAAGTACAAGAGGAGCAAGGTTAAAGCAATGGTGTGCATCGATAGCCAATGGCATGAATGATATCAGCAAAACAGGTCACTTCTGAAGAAGGGACTATCACTATTAACAATGGCATCCTGGCTCGTATCAAGAATAGCGTGGCCAGCAGGAGCAGGGCAGTGATGGTGCCTCTGGACTGGGCACTGGTGAGGCCTCACCTCGAGGGCTGTGTTCAGTTTTGGGCCCCTCACCACAGGAAAGACATTGAAGTGCTGGAGCATGTCCAGAGGAGAGCCACCAAGCTGGGGAGGGGTCTGGAGAACAAGTCCTACGAGGAGAGGCTGAGGGAACTGGGCATGTTTAGTTTGGAGAAGAGGAGGCTGAGGGGAGACCTCATTGCCCTCTACAACTACCTGAAAGGAGGGTGTAGAGAGGTGGGGGTTGGCCTCTTCTTCCAAAGGACGAACGACAAGACCAGAGGAAATGGTCTGAAGTTGGGGCAGGGGAGGTTTAGATTAGATCTGAGGAAGAATGACTTTCCTGAGAGGGTGGTCAGGCACTGGAACAGCCTGCCCAGGGAGGTGGTGGAGTCACCATCCCTGGAGGGATTTAAGAAACGTACAGACATGGCTCTTCAGGGCATGCTCTAGTGCCCAAGGTTATTGGTTTATGGCGAGGTGTTGAGTGTGGGGTTTAGTTGGTGGGTGCGGTGTTTTTGGTGGGCGTTTGGTGTGGTGTGGTTGTTGGGTTTTTTTTTGTTTGTTTGTTTGTTTTTTGTGGTTGGACTTGATGATCTCAGAGGTCCCTTCCAACCACTAAGATTCTGTGATTCTGTGATTCTGTGATAACCATAGAGATGACTTGTCAGCAGCAACCCGAGAGCAGCATGGGAACCAGGTCATCATGCTCTCTGTGTGCTACTCCTCTTCTCTTATTCCAACAGAAAAACAGAATACAGGAAGACAGCCACAGTAAGGAAACAAAAGGGCTACTTGCCCAATGTTCCTGAGGACTGCAGTAAGCAAGATTTCAAGGCAAAGTATCACACCATAGCAACTCTTCACTCCTAAAGAGTGTAAAATACTCACGCAAAATGCCATTTCATCATTGCCAATCCACAGGAAAATAGGAAAGATCTCATCAGACAGCATCCCCTGCCAGCAATCCTGTTCTGACTATGCAAACACAAACTTCAGCACCTGAGAACTAAGGACTATCTGCTGCTCAGCTTTCCATCCCCCATGTGACAGCCTTTGTACTGACACCAGAATTCACCTACAGTAATGCCAGCAAGGCTTTTGGAATCCAGACACTTATATGCAACCAACCTCCTTTTTTTTTTTGAGTGCCACCCTTGTGTTCCAGTTACCATATGAACAGCCAGGATTCTGTGATTCTGTGATAACCATAGAGATGACTTGTCAGCAGCAACCCGAGAGCAGCATGGGAACCAGGTCATCATGCTCTCTGTGTGCTACTCCTCTTCTCTTATTCCAACAGAAAAACAGAATACAGGAAGACAGCCACAGTAAGGAAACAAAAGGGCTACTTGCCCGATGTTCCTGAAGACTGCAGTAAGCAAGATTTCAAGGCAAAGTATCACACTTCTTCACTCCTAAAGAGTGTAAAATGCCATTTCATCATTGCCAATCCACAGGAAAATAGGAAACACGCAAAATGCCATTTCATCATTGCCAATCCACAGGAAAATAGGAAAGACCTCATCAGACAGCATCCCTTGCCAGCAATCCTGTTCCAACTATGCAAACACAAACTTCAGCACCTGAGAACTAAGGATTATCTGCTGCTCAGCTTTCTATCCCCCATGTGACAGCCTTTGTACTGACACCAGAATTCACCTACAGTAATGCCAGCAAGGCTTTTGGAATCCAGACACTTATATGCAACCAACCTCCTTTTTTTTTTGAGTGCCACCCTTGATGATCTCAGAGGTCCCTTCCAACCACTAAGATTCTGTGATTCTGTGATAACCATAGAGATGACTTGTCAGCAGCAACCCGAGAGCAGCATGGGAACCAGGTCATCATGCTCTCTGTGTGCTACTCCTCTTCTCTTATTCCAACAGAAAAACAGAATACAGGAAGACAGCCACAGTAAGGAAACAAAAGGGCTACTTGCCCAATGTTCCTGAGGACTGCAGTAAGCAAGATTTCAAGGCAAAGTATCACACCATAGCAACTCTTCACTCCTAAAGAGTGTAAAATACTCACGCAAAATGCCATTTCATCATTGCCAATCCACAGGAAAATAGGAAAGATCTCATCAGACAGCATCCCCTGCCAGCAATCCTGTTCCAACTATGCAAACACAAACTTCAGCACCTGAGAACTAAGGACTATCTGCTGCTCAGCTTTCCATCCCCCATGTGACAGCCTTTGTACTGACACCAGAATTCACCTACAGTAATGCCAGCAAGGCTTTTGGAATCCAGACACTTATATGCAACCAACCTCCTTTTTTTTTTGAGTGCCACCCTTGTGTTCCAGTTACCATATGAACAGCCAGGAACTTCTGGAATTACTCAGAGCTGCTCTTCTTTAAACCTGGAGTGACTTTAGATTAGAGAGAAACAGATTTCAATGTTATAAAACATTTCTACTATCTCAGTGAAGGGCAGGGCGGGTGCACGCTATATTCTATTTGGAGAACACAGAATTTCTCTCTGCACACAAGTGATTCATAAGAAAAGTGTAAGAGAGACTGTATAATAATGAAGAATTTTTTCATTTTGCAGAGCAATTTTAATTTACTGAAAATCTATTCTAGAAATGCTTAAGAATTATGCACCCACAGAATCGTTTTTCTGTTGCTTCACCACATAGAACAAATTCTAACCCTTCCTTCCTCAAAGAATGGTCTGTTACTGGCACTTTACAGTATGCTGTTAAGACTAAGCTCTTCTGAAAAGCATGAATGCCTGAGGCATTCCACTCCACACTAGGATAACACAAACATCCGTAAGCATTTATCTAAATGTTCAGTTGCTTCTTGATAAGAGAGGAAATTTTCCCAACATCCATATAAGCAAGCAAAAAAAATCAGAATAACACTACAGCAGATGACTTTTTAGTATCTTTTACAAGTAATTGTTTATTACTGGGAAAAAAACCAAACCAAACCAAAAATGTTTTAAGAATAATGCAGAATTTAGAAGAAAAAATTCAAAGCAAAAGACCAGAAGTTGAAGACCCATCTGTTTATAGTTAGACACTGCAGACGGAGACAAGAGAGAAGCAACAGCAGCACAGAAATATGTACACTGTCTGGTAAAGTAAGCAAACATTAAGGTTTTGCTATAAGTCTGTATTTGAATAATCTTTTACTTCCTATGTAGAAAAAAGGTATATGGAAATAACCTTTCTTTTCTTTTTTGACAGTCTTAAACTGGAGAGTAAATTATTATTTTGGCCAGAAGTGGGTACTCCTTATAAATTATTTGTAGATAAAAAGGATTGTGTATGTGTAACATACTACTAACTACTACATGACCTTTCAACTTCTGACTGCTCATTTTAGTGACTGAAGTGAGGAAATTTTAAGTCACTCTGACCTGTTTAGTATCAAAGAAAAAGCTACTCTTCATTATTATTTAAACACTGTATATAATTATTTATCAGGGAGACATTATTTAGGGACACAGTCCATCTTTGTAAAAACTACACAGAAGGAAGACACCATATTTTGCCCCAACGGTCCAGACACATTATACTTACTGTTTTTTGAATACAATGCAGTTATTCTCTAAGTGTTTAAGCATTAAGAACAGTTTACAAATGTCACTGAGGGAGCCATTACCAATGATCAAGAATAACCTTCACCCATGTTGGCCAAAACCTCAGTCTTGATATTCACACCTTCCAGCTACAGTCAAAAGGCAAAGTGCATCTGCATGGGACACGCTTGCTTCTGCATCAAGTTGCAGGACAAATTCCTGCTAGGTTCCTAACACAGTTTCTTTTCAATTAAAGCTACTACCGTTTTCATCAGAGACAGAAACCACTTGCCAGACCATTAGATGATTTATTCACTCCTGTTCATTTCACAGCTAGAGAACTTATCTGGTTACCTTACTGAATGATGTCCAGAAGTATAGTCCAATTTCCCAAACTTCTGTGTGCGGTAGCCATGCTTCTCCATGAGATCCATCCACGTTACATGATCTGGATCTAGACCTTTGAAGTTATTCCAAGATTCTGTTAAATGAGTGAAAAGACCACTCCACATAGCTGGGGGGGGGGGGGGG